TCAGCCACTTAGCCCAGTACCAGATATGGGATAGATTCAGAGTCATTTTTGGTGCAACTCATTTTAATCTATCAGCTTCAGTAATTCACTGTCCAAAAGTACCCACTTGTAGACCCCCAAAAAGTGGAAGAAAGAGAAAACACGGAGGAGAAAGGACAAACATGGGGACAAGCTGCAGCAACCTGTGGGGATATTTTAGGAGGGACGTGTCTCCTTAGGCACACACTAAAGAGTTAAAGGGAAGTTCATCTATGAGCAAAGAGACCATAGTAACCATAAATCCACTTTCCTGCAGAAAACACAGGAGGAAAAGCTAAAGCGTGGTTCTGGGGAATCAAAATTTAGAACTGAAAAAGTTACATTTTGTGCTTAATAGAAAACAATGGGTTACTTAACATGACAATTTGGAAACAGAAAAGTTTCTATCACAATGATGTATACTTTTTATCAACTCTCATGAGTACCAAAACAAGTGCTAAGGAGAAATACACTACAGGAAATAATTTATTTTCTTCTAAACCTTTGAATGTAAACATCCTGCTGATTGCCTGTGATTCTTTGTTAGCAATACCAGTACTTTCACAGCGGTTATCACCCCCCATGACACACAGTGCCTCAGAAGAGCTACATAGACTGTGAGAAGGCTTTAAATAAAGGTCGTTATTTGGGAAGGCTGGGTGCTGTGGCTCATGCCTGTAATTTAAGTACTTTGTGAGGCTGAGGTAGGTGGATCACTTGAGCCCAGGAGTTGGAGACCAGCCTGGGAAGCATAGGGAGATCTCGTCTTTACAAAAAAAATTTAAAAATTAGCTGAGCATGGTGGCATGCAGTTGTGGTTCCAGCTACCCTGGAAGCTGAGGTGTGAGGGTCACTTGAGCTCAGGAGATCAAGGCTCCAGTGAGCTGAGATCACACCACTGCACTCTAGGCTGGGCCCAGAGTAAGACTTTGCCTCAAAATAAATAAGTAAATAAAAATAAAGATGGCTGGGTTAGCTCCTGTTGACAACTCTCACACTCTGTTAGTTTTCATATCCAGTTTAAGACCTGTCAGTTGTCAGGGTTTGTGTTTTTATAACATGGGTCTATTTACTGGAATTGTAAATAGTAGCAAAAGGTACAGGTTAGGAATGTTGTCTGTGGATTTGTAGCCCAGCTCTTCAATGCAGAATTGCTTGAAATAAGCAGGTTAATCTTGCTAAGCCTCAGTTTCCTTTGCTGTAAAATATGGATACAATACTTTCCTTAGAGTATTGTTGTGAGGATACAACAAGATAATACATATAAAGTGCTTACTTAGCACAGAGCCTGGCCATTACTCTCAGCCCATCGGTTCATCATGTTGCATTGCGATTCATTTTTACATACCATTAAATAAGAGTATGCACTGTTAACCACTATGTTTTTGGTGTCCAGTTGTTTCTCTTTCTTTCTACTTCACCCCTCCTCCCCCATCCCCCGCCAGTGCCACCACACACTCCATACTTTCTCATTTTCCTGTCCAGGGCTGCAGGTGCAGAGTCCTCTGGTCAGATCTATTGCCTGTGATTTATAATTTATAGGGAAAAGGAAGTATCTCAAGCCAGTGTACGTAAAGGCATTAGATAACCACGTGTTTTACTTGTAAGCCAAGACTTTCATAGGAAGCCCTTTAGAGAATATAGCCTGAAAAAGAACTAGTAAAAGAAAACAAAATTTTAAAAAATGTGAGCCCACCATCATCAGTTGGGCGTTTAACCGAATGGGGCCCACTTCAAACGGTTAACAATTGTAGAGAATTGAGAAATAAAATCAGATAAGCATACGGGAGGTCTAGACTCCTCACTGTTCTGCTGTCTTGAACACTGACACCACTCTTTGTTGAGGTTCCCAGCACATGCCTTGGACATGTGCCCCATAATTACTTGGACGTATTTGTCTCTTGATACCCCGAGGTGGGTGTCAGGTCCCTTAATCCATGTTGATCACCCCTGCTCAAATCACTGCTTTAACTGCATGCACAGGGATGCTCAGTGCTGAGGGCTCATCAAGCTGGACTTCTCATTGGAAGCATTTCAAGTTGTAATTGCATCACAGAAAAGTAAATGGTACGTTCTTCATGGAAACAGTCTGAAATGTCAGGCAGAAAGCAACAGTGGTGCGTACAGTGACGCTCTTCTTGTCGAGGAGACTGTATTAGATGAGGTCTTTTCTATCTGGCTTTCCTTTAAGCTGACTGCCATTATCATAGGACTTCACACTGTAGCTTGTACTGGAGTGAGGGTCCTAGAGTAGCTGCCTCAAGGTCCAGAGATTTTGAGGCGAGAGCATGCCCTGGAGCAGAGGAACAGACCTGATGGGCATGAACCCAAGTCTGACTTTCCAGATTTCTCAGCAGTGTTCCCTGTTCTGAGGAAGTGCTGAGTTAACTGCATAGCGACTGTTCCTTATCCTATTTCCTGAATACAATAGAAAAGATTGCTGGTGGTAAGTGTAGGGAGTAGCTTAGAGAGAGCCTAATGTTATCAGCACTATTGGTAGATAATTGATACCTGCAAATAGTTTGTACTCTTGATAGTATTTCAAGGCAAAGCTATAGTAGGGTAGTTGCTGAGAGATCCTGGGAAACTTGTTTTTCTACTACTGGACAGGATAGTCTCCCAGTGTTTGTGAGGTTGCAGCATTTTAGAGCTATAGAAAGAGCTGAGACCAGGGGGAAGAACCAGGCAACTGCTAGGCTCTCACACTCTCCAGGAAACAAAAGAAGTTCTTACTCTGCTAAGAACCATGGCAAAATGAATTTTGGCTTTAGGGGCTTTGGAATGCCCGGAAATGGTTGGAGTAAGGAAAAGTAGGAGAATGTGAAGAATGAATTAAGTGATAAATCTGTAAGTTGCAGGCCCTCTGCAGCGTGCAAAACTGGAACCCCAGGTAACAACCAAGAAAACCTCCATGAAGCTGGAATACTGTGCAGTCATAAAAAAGAATGAGTTCATGGCCTTTGCAGGGACATGGATGAAGCTGGAAACCATCATTTTCAGCAAACTAACACAGGAACAGAAAACCAAACATGGCATGTTCTCACTCATAAGTGGGAGTTGAACAATAAGAACACATGGACACAGGGAGGGGACACATCACATACCAGGGCCTGTCTAGGGGTAGGGGGCTAGGGGAGGGATACCATTAGGAGAAATACCTAATGTAGATGACGGGTTGATGGGTACAGCAAACCACCATGGCACACGTATACCTATGCAACAAACCTGCACGCTCTGCACATGTGTCCCAGAATTTGAAATATAATTTTAAAAAAAGGAAACCTCCATGAAGCAATTCACAGTAAGTCTGCTACTTGAGGTTTACTTGTTCATAATTTACTCTCTGGAGTAAATTTTTTCCTCTATAAAGTGTTTTTAACGAACTCTGTCTTTAAATATTGGTTAAGACATCATGTTATTGTAATAAAGGCCATTGTTTTTGTAAGATCAGTCTCATCTGTCCCATATTCAGGTCATGGATTTAATAACTGATACACTAAAACTATCCAGTAAGCAATAACGCCTGTTTCCCCGCACCCTCCTCCCCCACCACTTGATCCCCTCCAATCCCTCTTCCTGTTGTGGCCAGAGCGGTTTTCCTGACATAGGGACCTGAGCATGTCACCTCATTGTGCAGTCTCTTTTTGCTTGTGGACTTCAGGATAAAGTGCAACCTCCTTGGCATGCATAGAAAATGCTGTCCATGACCTCATCCCTCTCCGCCTCTCCAGTCTTATCTCCCACCACCCTATATTCCAGCCATGTGGAATTCCAGTTCCCCACACATGCCATGCTCTTTCAGGCTTTGGTTTGCTTGATCTTCTCCCCACAGTGTGCTTCCCCAGCTTGAAGACTCAACTCTGGCATCAACTCTGGGGAATCTTTCCTGCCCACCACTTCTGACCAGCTGCGCCTCACCTGAGCTCTCAAATTGTTTTGTGTACATGGGGTCCCCTTCTCCCCTCCCACAAGACTGTCTTATCTCTATGTTCCAGGTTCCTAATACAAAGTAGGTGTTCCATGTGTATTTGCTGATCCAAGGAATGAGTAAGCAATTCAGTGAGTGAGGGAGCACATTTGGTATATTAGGGAAGCTGCAAGTGACTACAGCTGGCCAGCTAGGAGCTGGAGCTGGGCACAACTCTTTCTTTCAGTGATAACAGAGGTCAAAGGATCTTTAAGATTTAGTTCTTGGTTTTTGTAGAAATTGCCACTATCTATCCTTCGGAATATAAGATATTGCTTTTTCGCCTTTATTTTTAGAACTAACAGAACTAGAACATAGCAGTTTTTCAGTGAAACACAGCAGCCTAGAGCAATGTATACACACATATCACATGCAGGTTTAGGTAGATATCCATTCAGGGTCTTAGTAATGCCACAGAGGAGGCTCTGTCTCCATTCAGCTGCTTGCTGTCAACTAAAGTATGATTATTGCACTTCCGCACTGAATCAACATACAGGCTGCATAGAACCTTTTCTTAGGATTCTGATCACATTTCATCAGCTACATTGGAAAGCCTGAGTCTATCTGATCCATGTTTGTATTCATTCAACAAATATATCCCATATGACTACCATGTGGCTATTTGGAAACAACTAAGTTTATTAACTGGTCATTAGTCATTTGGTGACTGTGTCTCAATAACTCTCTTCGTCATCCTCACCGGCCTTCATTCCAGTGTCCATCCCAACCTCAGTACACAAAACTTTCCTGGTAAGTCCTTTCAGTGAATTATGAGGGATCTATCACACAAGAGTCTCCCAGCATGGGTATCTTCCCACCAAATTCTTCTACGTGCACTCCTGTACATTGTGAAGCCTTGCTACCTTGAGAGAGTCACACTCTGGAGAGCGTTTAGGGACTAGCTCCCAGGGCCAGGCATAGGTGCTGTCCTCAGAGCACTGCCGGCTGCTGGTCTCATATCTGTGTCGGGAAGGGAATGTGTTTTCTAATAAAATGTTTTTGTCTTGTCTTTCAGCTTACATTTTATTATGGTACGATAGATCCTTGGTGTCCAAAAGAATACTATGAAGACATTAAGAAGGATTTTCCAGAAGGAGACATTCGACTCTGTGAGAAAAACATACCTCATGCTTTCATCACCCATTTTAACCAGGAAGTGGCAAACATGATTGCTGACTCCCTAAAGGATGACCTGTCCAAAATGTAAATTGGCCTGAGGAACAAGCCCCCACTGCCAGTACATGGAGGCAGTCGGTGTACTAGACTTAGTAGGTAAATGTTTAATTTTGAAGACTGCTACTAGAAATGAAGAAAGTGAGAACCCTTGTCTTACAAACCATCTCTCAGCTCGCCATGTTACAGGCTGAAGTAAACACAGTTGATGAATCATTCCATAGGTTTAACCATACATTTTCCAAGACTCAGGGAACACAGTGATCTACACAGAGTCTTATGTTTGCACGAGATGCCCAGTGGCACCATATGGTTTATTTTGGTAGGCGGGATCTTTGCAGATGAAAAAAAAGTCTACATGTACTTGATTTTAATTGAATTGCATTGTAGAATAGGCTCTTCTGGAGGAAATTACGAAATACCTACTAGAAAATGTAAAAGAAATCAGTGAATGTTAAGACTATAGTTAGACATGTGAAGTGTATGTGATTATGACAAGGATACACTCACGTTCCAGGAGTAGGAAGTGAACCTGGGTCTCCTTTAAGACAGAAGATGAAGATGAGCCCAGACTAACTTAGCGTAGATCTTGGCTGAGATAATCAGTGTGACGTCTAATGTACCTGCACTAGACAGAGAATAAGGTTCACCAGACATTACCGTGGTCAGCTAACCAGATAGAGTTGTTGAAGGACCCCAACTGTGCCTCCTGCCACAAGACAACCAGCAAGTTCTATGGTGAGCCTTAGCCTGCCAGGTTGTAAGCTCCCTGCAGGCTCCTCCTCTCCAGAGCCAGGATGGTGAGGCACTGGGCTGTCCCAAAGCAGGTTTGGATGTGCCAACATGCAGTTGCTCCTTCTGTAATTCTTGTACTAAAACTCTATTAAAGACCATCAGTGAGCCAAATAGTGTGCTAGCCATCAAGGATAGAGTTCTTAGCTACTTAATGATTCTTTTCTTCTGGAAATCTTCTAGTGAATAATTTTTAAAAGCATCTTTTAAACTGCTGAGTAAAGCATTACCATACATTAGTTCTCTATTTCTGCATTAACTTCACTTGCTGGAAAGAAATTTTGTTAATGAACCAAACTCAGCCATTAAGTTATGTGAATTCACCTTCTCTAGACACATTGAGGTCTGGCAGAGAAGACACATGTTCCCTGGCCTAGAGTGGGCTGACAATATTGCTGCCTCCCCTAAATTGACTCAGTCTTGAGAAACACATACTGCAGTGACAGTTGATGATGTATCAGAAATATTCCTTTTTCTCCTAGAGGAAATCCCTCATGGCATTATCATTCCCTAAGGACAATGAGATGTCCCTCCCCTCAAAACCTAAAGCCCCCTGATGAAAGATTCAGCTCTGATTTGCTGCCAACTTACTGCTTAGTGCTCAATGAGTTACTGTGCTTTGGCATAGCTTCTACATCACAGCAAGTAACTTCTCAGAGGGGAAAAGCCAAGCTCTAGACAAGGAGTGCTATTAGCCCAAGGGGAAGAGCTAATAGATACACAGGCCATAAGCACAGGGCTGCACACAGAGCCTTTATTGGCATCTGCATGAGAGGCCTAGAAATTGGATATTAGAAACTAGGAATCATGGCTCTGAGTGCCTTGCATACAGGAGATACTCACTAATACTAAATCAAGGCACATAAACAATACTGGGTAAATCATACCTACCAGAATAAAGAGTAACATTCAGAGCTTTTCTTTTAGCTGTTATTTTAAACATTACTCCATATTTCAAAAGTCTGCATGTATGAAATTGTGTCTTATTTCTGGTTTTTAGAGCCTAAGAAAGATACTGGTTCTTAATTTGTATTTATCATCTGAGCACCAAATTAATTTTTGAAATAAATGTTTTACCAGCATTTCTGATCTCATCTGGCCTGATCTCTGGGTTGGGAAGAGAGGGTACAATTTGAGCAGTTCTCCTGAGTTAAGACTCAGCTCAAAGTCTCTCTTTTAAAATGAAAAGCCACCTTTCTCATTGCTTTTTTCATAGGTGGAAGAATCAGATTTCAAGAGACTGAAGTTCATTCTGTTTCATTAGGGATTAGACTAAAATGGACAGTGGATGAAATCCATTTTCCAGAAGCAGCTCTGGCTGTATGTCCCAGTCAACCACATAGATGGTCTTTGTGAAAGTTTTAACTTCCTGCAGAGTTACCTAGTGCTCAGCGATTGAGCCTTGACCATGCCCATGTTTGCTCCTAGTCTGTTCTGAGCCATCAGAATCTCCACAAGCCCTCTGTGGCTTGTGCGGCCTGATGTCCATGGCCACCAAGGGCCTCTCACCATACGCTTCTCCACTCAACCTTTGAAGAGACAGGGACCACCAAAGGCTTGATTTTTCTTCATCCTACATTATATTTAAAACAAAACCAGGCTGGGTGCCATAGCTCACACCTGTGATCCCAGCACTTTGGGAGGACAAGCTGGGAAGATCGCTTGAGGCTAGGAGTTTGAGACCAGCCTGTGTAAAAAACAAGACCTCTGTGTCTAAAATAATTTTTTAAAAAGAGCAAAAAAAAAAAAAAAAAAATTTCAGATTAAAGGAGACTAAAGAGACGTGACAATTGGACACAACATCTGATTGTGAATTGGATGTTTTTGTTATAAAAGACATTGTTGGGACAATTTGCACAACTTGAATGAGGTCTGAAGATTAGTTGGGAGTAAGATGCCACTGTTAATTTTCTGATTTCAGTGGTTGTACTGGGGAGAAGTAAGAGAGTGTCCTTGTTTCTACTGGAGACACGCAAGTATCTGGGGGTGAGGGCCATCATGTCTGTTTACTGTCAGATGGTTGAGGGGAAAATAATGTTCTTTGTACTTGCAGATTTTTTGGAAGTTTGAGATGTTTTAGAATTTGTAAAAATAATTATTTTAAAATCCCACCATGCTATCTCCTGCATCGGTGCCTCATTGCTTCTTTTCCAGAAAGGCTATTTCCTCTTGTACACAGTAAATGAAGACCTGGGTTCAAATCCCAGATCTGTCATTTGTTAGGTTTGTGACATAAGACTTCACCTCCCTGCTCCTCATTTTTTTTAAGGGAGATAAAATGAGGTCATGCACATAGCATTTAGTATGTTGCCTGGCATATGGTAGATGCTCTATAAAATGGTACCTAAAGGAGGACAGCAAACGTGTTTTTCCTTTTTTCCTTTCATTTCTCTTTAGTATAGCGGAGGACCCTGTGGTATCTCAGTCCCTGCACTGTTTCACCAGGCTTGTAACTTGATTCCGGCAGTCAGCATTTTGGCTCTTACGCAGGGATAACACTTGCTCACCTGGCTCAGCTTTCTGGCCTCAGCCCATGTAGGCCTCCCTGCACACAGCCCAGGATGTTCTAACGTCGATTTAGAAAAGATGTGGGAAGCAAAGCATTTCTTAGGTGGCATGAGACATCTCTGTGCCTGGCCTTCTCTTGCAGAAGAAAAGAGGCAAGGATATATTTGGGCTGCTCTTTCCCTTGGGGGTGGGCCTTAAGGAGAGGTTGGAGGCTGGGACTGAGTGTGCTCTGTGAACAAATGCATCTGTAGGGCCTTGAATGAAGCTCTTCTGCAGGAATGCTGAGGACAGCGAAGCTCATATGAGTGTTCTTCTAATCACTTTTTAAGAGGATTGAAATTCCTGCCTGTGCCCCATACAGACATGGGTAAGTGATCATATTGGCCCAGGTGAGGAGTATCTGTAGGACATGGGTCTGGTCCTTCCCACCAGGCTGAAGGCATCTCTCTAGCAAGACTGGTGTCACTGAGTGTGATGCTGGGTGAGCATCCTCAGAGCATGAGTGAGAGACAGCGAAAGCTCTGGGTGGTTCTACGGTTCTATAAAGAGAAAGCTCTTGGAAAAGAGAAGAGGATGAGGTTGCCCCTAGTCCTAGAACAGGTAGAACTTGGATAGGTGGTTTGGAGTGGATGAGAGCTAATCCAGATAAGGATTATCTCTTACCCCCGCTGCTCACCCCTACACCTTTACAGTGTCTCAGTTAGGCCTCCCAATCCTGTGATGTTCTCACTATGCCCATTATACACTGAGGTGCCTTGCTAAGGACCTCACAGCTAGTAGATGACAGAGCTGGGATTCTGCTGTAGTTGCATGTGTCCTCCAAAGTTCACGTGTTAGAAACGTAATCCCCAAGGCAACTGCTGGGAGGTGGGTCCTAATGGGAAGTGTCTGAATCATGAGGGCCCTTCCCTCCTGAATGGTTTAATGCCAGTAATAAAAAGGCATGCTATTAGGCTGCGAGTATGATCTGTTGTTCTATCATGCTCTCTTGCCCTTCCACCTTTCTGCCAGGGAGGATGCAGCACAAAGGTCCTCACCAGATGCCAGCCCCTCAATCTTGGACTTTCCAGCCTCCAGAACTGTAAGAAATAAATCTCTTCTTTATAAATTACCCAGTCTCTGGTACTCCATTATAGCAACAGAAAATGAACTAAGCCATATTCCAATTCAGGCCTCTACTCCAGAGCCACCACTTCATCCCCTCTTTCCACTGCATCATGCTGCCTCCTGGAGGCCACAGGGGGCAAGCCTAGCAAAAGTGGAGAGCCGGCAAAGAGAGCCACGCAAAGGGCAAATGAGGACCCGATTGACAGAGGAAGTGAAGAGTAGATAGTTGGTAATAAATGAGTAGTTTTAAAAGAATGAAAGCTATAACAGAGACCAGTTTTCAAAGGGCAAAAAAATGCATAAGGCAGTGGATTGAGAAAAAGCAAGCCCACATACTGGGAGTCAGTGCTGTGGCTGCAGTCACATGGCCGGCACCTCTGCAACTCTTCCATAGCCACCTGGTCTCATGCCAGGCACGGGAGCTTCCTGTGGGCTCCCCTGTACAGGAATCACTGCTCCAGCTTTGATAACACCCATCCTCTACCCCACCCCATGAGACATGGCCCAAAATACCAACTGTTCCTGCCTCCCAGAGCAGTCCTTCCCACCCTCCCACGCCCTGCCAGCCTTCATGATCCCTGGCCTGGCCTATGTCTACTGAATGACTTATCATTGCTGTGGGAATTGTGTCTCTGAAGTCTATTCTTCCCTGCTTCCACCAACACCCCTTCCCTCAGGAGAGTCCCAGAAGATGGCCTTCTGTCTTAGTCATCTCTGTACTGTCAGGGCATATCGAATATGGGTCCTAATGGGAAGTGTCTGAGTAATGAGGGCCCTTCCCTCCTGAATGGCATACCCTGCTATTCAGGGTAGTCTATAAATTTTGTTATCTAAATTAATAAAAAGTTTATACCATGCCTAATAGGCAAGCTATGAAAAAGTGCAATTCTCACATTGGATCAGACTACCAGGAAATCGCATCTCAGGGCCTCTTCATCTTAAAACTGACACATCAGTGGGAGTGCAGACATGGACATTTGCTCTTTCATCCCTTAAGTGTTTCCCCAGCAGAGCTGTACACAACTGGGTCAGATAGATTCAAGGATGTCTGAATCCTTGCAGACTGTTTGTGTCTGGCACTGGGGGACTGCAAGGAAGCAAGGCCACTATCCCTTGTGTCCCATTCATCTTGTCTGATACGGCTGCAACTGTTACTTCCATTCTACTACAATTAGAAAACCTCTGGAGTTTGGGTATTAGCAACTACCAAATATGTAGTTTATTATTCGTTGAGCACTAACCCTGCGCAGCACCCCAAATGGGAATTACAGCAACAATACACACGACTGTGCTCTGGGATAATCGAGCATTTTCATTTTGTGTTGCATTCCTCAAACATTCTGGCAAAGGGGCCTGTGCTGACCTCCCCACACAGGGATAGATTTCCTTGCTGCGTAAGTCTATGGGAAAATTCCTCTTCCCTGGGATGGGAATGTGACCCTGTGACTGGGCGCCCATTACAGTCAGGGGGCGCGGTGCACCTGCAGGGTCTCCCTCCCTCACAGAGGGACTAGAATCCCGCCTCTGCAAATCCACCCAACTCAGGCTCTGCAGAACATCTGGGCTTCCTCCTACTACTGGCCACTGCGAAGGGCTGCGCACCTGCATGTGATTAGGACTCGGCAAACACCCACAGCCTATAGGGCTGCATGCTGGTGGCACATCGCAGTGGACAAGTTTCTCCCCAGATCATTGTCCCTTCTGAGCAGATAGTCACAGGGTTCCTAGGGCACAAGAACACATGCATCCATGACCACGTTGGGCACCACCATCAGTGGAACAGCAGTTGGAGGCATCTTTGCCTTGGCCTGCTTGGAAATGAGCAGGTATCAGAGGCAGATCCAGGACCTGACAGGACCAGGGAAGGAGTGGAGAAGTCAGTCTTAGCCGCCTTTACCATTAGTCATGGACAGGCCTTTTAGATGTGCTCTTATCAGTGTCTGGGAAATTAGATAAAATTTTAAATGCCATCCCCGACTTTTCTTTCTCTCTGTGACTACTACTCTACTGAATGTGTACTCTAACCACAGAATGCTGTGGTAGGTCAAATGGAGACTGAAAAATAAGAAAATGAAAAAAGATGCTTATAAACAGAGCATGACAAGACCTTCCAGTTTTCAATGACACGGTCGTAGAACTTACACATTTATTTTACCTGCCAAATGAGTTAGTTGAAAGGGGAACACTATTTTTCTTCCAAAGAAAGAGACTCCTTTATTTAGTAATATGAAATGGAGTAGTGAAAAGAAAGCAGGCTTTCTTGATCTTTCACCAGAAAGTCACATGACCATAGGAACCTGCATTAACAAACTGTGGGCTATTGGATTCACCATGAACATGGGCTGCCATCACTGACGAAAAGGTGGGTCACTCCAGCAGGCTCCATATCCCAAAAGAGGTAATCCTGGTAACAAGTCACTAATAAGGCCAAGTCCTTGTCAACTTCCTACAGTTGCTGCTCTGTCGTTAGTCTTCTCCCAGAAATATTTAAGGAACACATTAAATAGATTTCTCCTTCATCTGTAGGCAAAAGTCAGGTGCAAGAGCTGGGATAGCAACAGATGCTGTGTGGTTGATCCTGTCCTGCTGCATTCTTCGTGGTGTCACCGAGCACAGGCTTTTGTACTTGTCTCGAAGAGTACTGGGCAAAAAAGGCCCTGTCAGATTTGCTGTAGGACCTTATTGGGTTCTGTGAAGTATGTAATTGGCCTTGCAGAGGAAGCGGCTTCCATGGGACTTTATGCCTTGGGATTTCAGAGACTTAACTGTGCAGCCTCCAGGAGGGGAGGGCTCATGCTTTCTGGAGTGAGACAGGTCCTGCAGCAGCCTGAGATGTATAAACACAGAAAACCTGTCCACTCAAACTGCATTTGGAATGACAGCGCTCACTCTACACATTATCATGCTCACTTCCCAAAGAGAAAATGTTTTCCACTACATTTTGGCCTCCTTTCCTGAACCCAGGCTTGATGTTTTTTACCTTGCTGTGCAGTGACTTCATGCCATGTGAGGCTGTGTGCAGCAGCATCCTATGCAGTTTCGTACCAGTCACCAAGACCCAGGGTGCGGCCCCCCATGCCAGAGGGCCCCAGCCTTACACCTGATCTGACAACACAGGAGAATGATCGCAGGGAATGATCGGCACAAAGGCAAGTAGAGCCAGGCCTGCTATGTCACTCCCACTGTTAAAATGCAGTCAGTCCTAATGCCTCAATAGCTGGCCGCTATTCTATTAATGAGTTGAGGACTACAGTAACACAGAAAGGCTGAGTAACAAAAGCTGAAAATGTTTTCCTTTAGAGACCAGTCATGAGCGGTTTTATGAATCAAATATTTAATCAACTTATCTGTACAAAATATTAAAATGGTTAATGAAGCGTATACAAGCACGTTTAACAAATATATACTGCTATATAATAAGAAAAATAGAGATTGCTGTTTTACATGTCATTTACATTTCACTATGTACAATCTATTTAAATTTGAGAATACATATACACATAGGTTTCTACCAGCCCTGGGAGGGCTCCCTGCTAGCTGGCCTAGGCATCGGCAACACCTCACGACGTCAGCTTGTGTTGCCCAAATAAACACCCAGGCCAGGCAGCAAGGAGACAGCCCAGCCTGCAAGCCTCGGAGTTCTGCTCTGGCTACACCAGCAGGAAGAATGCTGACGAAGGAGATTTCAGTTTGCCTTAAATGAGTTTTTAATGTCCCCCCACACCCCAATCTCATTACTCCCAAGCCAAGCTAAGAAAAAGTGGGTGTCACTGCAAAGTGAAAGGACTTCTATCCCCTCACCAAAATAATTATTTTTGTCTTTAGCTGCTGAGGAAATGGCGTGTTGAGCCTTGATGGCATTACCAGCACTTTGAGTTTTACCATTTCCTTAAAATCACAGTACTGGAATCAGATGAAATTTGCTTTTTAAGCTGCAGGCCACTCGTCACGTGCAGAATTCTGCTGCCCACCCAAGGCCTACTTAAACAGCATCATTTTGTAAGCTGGTACAGGAACTCTGCAACAACCTTCAGAGAAATGATCTGCTGCTTTATTTGTATGCAAAAAGAAAAAGACTTTGTCCAAACTTTTCAGAACCCCTATTGTCATCTGCTGAAAGGGCAAGTTGTAGTTAGCATGTTAATCCTTGTAAAAAATGCATTAACTTTTCATTTAGGGTGAAATGCTTCTAGCTAAAAGACCGAAAGTGACTCAATTATGATTCTTTGTCAAAGAAAACATAAAAGCTGTTTGCATTACAGTGTAAAGTGAAATACAAAAATAAAATTATTCTAAGGATGCTCATGTTTAATCCATGATTTATCCAAGGCAGAGAATGCCAGAGAATGCCTCTCTTGAGAGTCTCTGTTCCTGGCTTAGAACACGTGAGTATTTCCCCGCCAGAAAACACATTTTATCCTGAGCTTTCTTTCTCACTGAACTGCGTCATCATTTTTTAAACAGAATGCTAGAGGGCTGACTTTTGAGTCTGACAGGCCCTGACCCAGGAAATGAGCCCTGCTTGTGGGCATCCCCTTCCTCAAGCCAGCCTACTCACCCCAAGCCCAGCTGCTGCTGCCCCAGGCCAGGGGAGGATGCAGGACACATGTGCATTGTCTGGCCTTGGCAGCCCTCAGTCACTCAGAGATAAAAAGGCGCAGGCAAGGGGAGGCCCTCAGCCCCACCTGGTCACTGCTTTTTGGACTCATTCACCAAAAAATCCAGGCATGGGCTGCCCATGGCCCATGAGAGATCTCCCCAGGATGACCTGTGAGTACTGAAAAACAGAAAAGGTGTCTGCAGTTGCACCAGCTCACCAGCTTCAGTGCTGTCCCTTCCCATCTTGCAGCTCAGGAAATGTCCTCGAGGGAAGTTTAGCCCCGTGAACTTCAGATTAGTTCCTGTCTCCTAATTCAGCAGCATGCCTGTGAACTAACCTTACTCGGAAGTCTCACTTTGGTCAGCCATGGTTCTAGATTCTGGCAGCCAAAGGTCTGGGCAGGAGCTAGATGCAGAACTGGGTGTGGCTGTTGCCACTGCTGGTCAGATGGAGCAGTGCAGATATTCTGCAGAGAAGACAGCTACGTGCCCACCTCCTGCCAGGCCAAATCTCCAGCCCCCACTACGTGGCACTCCTGTTGGCCCACAACACAAAAGGTCATGAAACAGGAATGCAGATGCAAAGCAGCTGGCCACGCCCTGGCAGCTCTGTACTACTCTGCCGGAAGTGGCCTGGGTGTGACAGTCAGAAGCTTCTCCTTGTTTTTCTAGACAGTTTATCTCAGCATCCCCTGACATAGAAAAGGGATTAAAAGTTTCTGTAATACAGCTTCTACCAGGTGGCCCTCTCTGGAGTGAAGCATTTCTAAACTAGCAGAAGGAAGTTCATCTGACAAAAAAAGTGAAACGGTACTTCTTATATCGTCACCAAGCTATCCTGCCAACAAATTCACCTGACTGTACAGAAACACGTCTCTCCGGAAGTTTCTGTGACCGCTGCAGCCCCCCTGCCATTGTCAGGGAAATGTGTGAGAGAAACCAGCCCTTTCTGTTGTCACAGACACATGCGCACCATGCACAGATGCTAGAAGGGGCCTGCAAGCTCTGCATAGGAGGAGGAAGTGGACCGCCGCACGCTGCTCTGCTGCTCTAAGGGCGTATTTTTGCTTTTTCAGCAACTGTGAGCATAACTTGAAACTCGGTCTGATTTTTCAGTGACTTCACACCCATTTTTCAATGACCACCCATCCTGGGTTGCTCTGCTGTAATTGCTCCTGCCACTATGAAGCACCAGCCCAAACTTTGCCCAGCCAAAGGCCTGTCGCCAAGTTGCAGGCCACAAGCCAAGCTCTGGTTAAGGTGGGTACCTGCAGGTGATGGGCAGACAGCACCCATGAATGATGATCAGAGCTCATGTGGCAACTTCTGGGCCCTCAGTCACCCCTCTGATTCACTAGGCCAACTCTCAACCCTCTCCCTGCAGTCTGTGTCCACCAGGTGTCTCCTCAGGCTAGGACGGTGGCCCTCCTGAAAAAAAAAAAAATAGGCTTCTTTCACTACAGCCTCACTGAGTTACTATTTGTGATGTACTAAGCTGTGCACACAGATTAAAGCCCATAAAAGCACAGAGGGAGGAAGACAGCTCTGCTCCAGTCTATATGGTCAGGAGGTTCCAGGTACAAGATGCCAAGCTGTCTGAAAACTTAGAAATAAACATCTTTTTCGGTCCTCCCTTCTGGTGCTTCTTTATGTTAACCTCTCCCACCATTTTCCAGATCATAAAAAGGAAGAGAGAGATAAGCTCGTCTGATGCTACCCCAGGGTCACTCTCCTGGGAAGCTGCAAGGGGACCTCAGAGCCAGACATGGGCATGGTGGTGAGGAGGGGGTGGGGACCCAAGGAGTCCATTCTGGGACAGTCCTGCCTGCCTCGTCCAGGGCTTCTGGGACAGTCCCAGGTCCCTGTCTGGGTGACCAACCAGGCAGAGCCTTGCCTTTCCTCTTCTGCCTGCAGAGGCCCCGGCAGCAGCTAGAGCCCTTCCCAGCACTAGCTCTCTCAGACAGTCTCAGCTTGAGTGTGGCTGTACCCACCCCACTGAGCACAGGAGGAACTGCAGCTGGGTGGGCAGTGCCCTCAGCCAGCTCCTGGCTCTGGGTAGCTGAACCCCACCCTCAAGGTGCGGGCCTTCCCCGCACCTGCCTCAGCCCAGGGGAATTCAAAGCACATCCATGAGGCACCTACTGAGGATAGGAGTAAAATGGACACACACACACACACGCACACGCACAGGCAAGAGCTGCGAAACCTGTAAGACATGGCACTGGGGCTGGGATTGGGAGAGGACCTTCTCCAGGAGCCGTCACATTTGCTCCGCCTTCAAGCTGTCTGAGTGGGTTTTAGGGCAAGGTAAAATCCTAGAACCTTGGAACTGGAGAGGGCATCATTTCACAGGACAGAAGATGAAGCTCCAGCAGGGAGGTGACTGTCCATAACTAGCCTCAGACCTCTCTCAGGAGACGCCCTGTGGTGCCCTGGCCCAAGTGGCCTCCCCTGAGGCGGGCGCAGGCCATGCTGTGGGAGCAGCTGCCTCTGGGCACTCGGAAGCCCACAGTGGGCTCTGACTCTGGTGCAGCTCAGATATACCATCCCCCAGAGGGATCTAGTTACTTTCCACTCGCCCAAAGTTTGGCTGTTGGGTTCACTCGGCAGCTTCTTCTCTTCTCTTCCCTTCCCAATCCAGACACTTTCTGAGGGGCAAGCGCAGGCCTAAGCTCCCTCTGGTAGACTGCCGCTTTCAGAGCCTTGCTCCCTCCAGCTCACTGGGCGATCTGACTCAGGCCTCTTGGCCTATGGCCCACTGAGGGCCAGGGGGAGGTCTGTCTCCCTGAGATGACAGGTTCTCATGAGAATCAGCGAGACCCAGTGATTCTGTGCACCCAGAGGCAGCCGCAGGACACTCTCTTCCTGCCACTGGATTTCCTGGAGACCAGATTCAAGCACAGGAAGAGCCTGACTTTATCTCTGCACTAGCTGCTTTTGGAAAGAACGTCATTTTTCTCCCTGCTCTAAGAAGAAAATCAGTCTACAAATCCTAGTTGTTTTCTGCTGTGGGTTTAAATGAAATTGACGACAGCATATACAATGTGTAGGGACTGAATTACACTCCGTCCTGTTCCATCCACGGGATTATCGGTATTCTCTTCAGTACCCAAGGTGAGGCGCCCACTCCTGCCGACATCATGAGAGCTGCCAGGGAGAAGAGACTGCCCTGGGCTTCGTGGAGTCTGGATTCTCCTATCATAAAATCCACACCTCATATTGTTGCCAGGAGGGTACGGTGAAGGGGAGCATGGATACAATGACTTAGCACAGCTCCAGCCTGACTTCCCCAAGCTAAGACGGCAAAGCCTGCCACCTTCTCTGGAAGACCCAGCGCAGCTGCTTGGAAAGTCAGGATTCAACAAGGCAAGTGTGTTTGGGCATCAGTGGAAATGCCCGCCTGCCAGTGTGGGTGATCCTCCTTAACACGAAAGCCTTGGCTTCAAGCAGCAGTGACCAGACTATCTTCGTGTTTGACAGACCCAGCACCAGCCCCCCTTGGGCCCCAGCTGGCCTGCCCCGAGCTCCCTAAGGGATACCAAATCCTACTCACCACCTGGAAATCATGGTTCAAATGATGTCAACTAGTAGTGCACAATTCTCCCAACGAAATGGAAAATTCTGTTTCCTTTAGGAGGGAGACTTTGGTGAGCTCAGATTGGGGTTGAGGGGACAGCCTTTACTCACAGTCTTGACATGCTTTCTCTCTGCCTGTCAGTTCTCCCATCCATAGTGACTGGAGATTCCAGCTGGGGGGTTGCAACAGAGAAGCTGAGTTCATGCCAGTCACCCAGGCCTGTCCCCCACTACCTAGAAGAGAGCTCAGGGTGCTACTACCAACTGTGTTGGCAGAATGCTTTTCTCCACATCTTGGCAGTGCTAGTTAAACCACATCTTAGCAGCAAAAAGCCGTCTGTCCCACATGTGTTGGCCCTTTGTTGTCATTTTTACAAAGTGAAATGGATCCTCTGCATTCACCTAGTGAATGGACTGAGATGCCAGAGGGTTGGGCAGAGTGGCCCCTGGGGGCTTCACCTGCTCCAGAGAAATCTGGGAAGCATTCCTTTTATCCAGTAAACAAAGAGCACACTGAGGGTATGGGGCCATGGAAGGAACGGTCATTGTCCAAGGACAACATCCCTCCCCCTGGTGCCACCTGAACTCAAGATGCAGGAAGGTACCTACTTCCCACACCACTCACAACACATCTCGTTAGAAGGAGGTCATCAGAAGGAATGAGGGGAAATTGACAGTTCTTTTCCCTACCATAAAAAAGCCAGGCTAAAGACATTTCTGCCCAAAAAATTGTTTTTTCTAGTCACTAAAAAACTATCAAAATGTTTGCTTTTATCCAAAGATATTAAATACCCTAGACTTTCTTCAAAATAACATTTAACTGCACTTTGTCATTAACTTCCTTTCTAAACCTTCTAATACTACAACTTCTAACACTTTAGTGCTATATTTTTTATATAATTCTTCATTATGACAAGCTTCGTTTAGAAAACGAGAGTGAGGCGTCTCTGGCAAAATCCACAAATTTAGGGACAATCTTTGCCCAGTCACTAAAATAAGGTGGAATTGTACCAGCGCAGCCACTTTGGGATATTTTTCAAATTTTTAACCTGAAGACACTGTTCATTTTCTGGTTATTTATAGCTACTCATACAGTCACAGAATATAAATTCACATAGTAGGAAGGGGGACATCTTAATTTTAAGAGTAACACGTGCTTTTTTTTTTCTTTTGGGAGAATTTTACAGGATGAAAACCAATTGCTTCAGGTGGGGCCCATAAGTAAATTAGCTGTATCTAAATCCTATGTCTGTCTTCTCTCTCTCAAGAGTGTAATCACTGAGAATCAAAATGTGTATGAATTGTCCTGCATCCAACACAGGGTGGAATTAATGCTCCCCAGGACTCTGAAGGGGAAAGTCCTGCACATCACACAGATGCACTGGGAGGGCTGCGGGGCTATTCTAAGAAGCCCTCACCCCAGACAGGTGGAGTCCAACTAGTTTCCCTCTCCCAGCCTACTGACAAAAAGCCACAAAGGATTCCCAGGGATAAACAAATCAAACCAAACAGTGAAGGCTGAATGTTCGAACTCACTTTTACATGCCTAGAAAATCCTCCCATCGATAAGACTCTTCGGGGCAAAATCTGGCAACTGGGGGATAGGCTTCCACCTCTGCTCCCCTACACCAAGGCCCTGCCCTTCCAAGGGCACAGCAGCCAAGCCAAGGAGCTGATGAGGGGAAGGGGCAGACCTTCCCCCTGCTCTAAAGATCTGGGTTGTGAGTTGAAGTCTGACAAAAGCACTTTTGTGTGGCTTCACTTCCCGTTACTATCGCACTGCCAAAAACTACAGCAACAACATAGCGAATGCAGGTAAAAAGCAGAGGCCGACTTACTTGATAACTAGCACAAGCCCGGGTCGGCCCCTGGGAGCTTGCACCTACGTGGCAGAGTCCTCGGCTGGAGTGGGACCCAGGACACCTCCCTGCCTCTCAAGCCCTGAGAGCCTCTTCCCCGGCTTCTTAGGAAAACCTCCTGGCAGGTCTCTAGGAAAAGCAGTAGCTCCCCTCCCCCATCCCCACCTTCCCCATTCCCGGCCATTGCACTAACTTCCTCCTAAGCCACCCAAAGCATGGGTACCATCTCCCCCTGACCAGCTGGGGAGCTTCTGAACTTGGCAGATCCTATCCCACCCCAATATCCTGTTAGATCAGACTCAGCCGTTTAAACCCCTCCCCCATTTCACTTCCCCACAAAAAGAAAAATATCCTTTCCACTTTCCAGAACATTTCCAATTGGAATTGATTTAAAAAAAAAAAAAAAAAGGCGGGGGGGGGGCGGTACCGACCTTTGCACAAATCTGGGAAGCTCCACAACACCTTCTTTCAGACAAAACTTCCCTTTCAAAAATGAAGCAGGGGCACGTTAAATTTTAAAAGTTAAAAAAGGAAAAAAAAAAAGATGCTTTTTGCAACAGTTCCAGAGTAAACGGCCCCATGCAACACAAACCCTCGGAAAGGGCATTACAGCCTTGCAGTGGATCACGGAGTGCACCACGCAGCGCTCAGCCACCCAGGGAAGCGATGCCCCCACGTCGGGCCAGAGACAAGAAGGGGTGAGATAAAACATGCTCGAGTACCCCTTTGGTTCTCCCATTCTGGAGCTTCCAATTTCCTAACCCGTTTCTACCTGATTTTCGTGCCTGTTACTGCAACATAAGCACAAACACCTTCCTCTCCCCAAATGGAGGCAGTGGGCGCCACGGTTATCTGTTTGCAAAATACACAAGGCTCTGACATTCGGTACCGGCAGGGCATCTCTTCCCAAGGCTTTCACATGCTGTCCCCAGTAAATGTGTGTGTGACTGAACGAGTGTGTGTCAGTGTGAACGTGTGCTCTCCCTCCTCCGAGAGGGCGCTGGGTCACATCGGACTTGCACCCACGCTCGGTGACAGGCTGGCCCTCTGCTGCTCATCAGCTGGGGGTCCTCGGCCGCGCGGCTGCCCCGTCCCCGGCCCGCGCGCTACCTGCAGCCGCAGGCCTCCACCACCATGTCCTCGTATTGCTTGTAGACAACATTGTTGGCGGCGTCGATGTAGAGGATGCTGATGGGGCTGAGGCGCGCGGGCACACAGCAGGAGGCCGGCGCCGCGTCTGGCGCCATGGAGTTGAGCAGCGTCTGAATGATTGCGTGGTTGGTGGGCTCGAGGTGCGAGCGCAGAGGGAAGTCGCAAACGCCCTCGCAGTGGTACGCTTCGTAGTCTAGCGGCGCAATGATCCAGTCGTCCCAGCCGAGCTCCTTGAAGTCCACGTGCAGCGGCTTACGGCTGCAGCGGCTCCGGCCCCTGCGTCCGTGGCCCCGGCCCGCGCCCCCGCCGCTGCCTTGCGCTGTCCGCGTCCCAGCCAAAGCCGTCCTCCTCCGTCTGCGGCCCGCAGTGACTGCCCTTGGCGACCCGGTGCCGGTTCCTGGGTCTGGCGGCGGCTGTGCCGCCAGAGCGGCCCCGAGTGCGCGGGCCTGGGCGTGCATCTCCCGGAACAAGCTCTCCTTCCTCTGCGTGCGGGAGGAGACGACTAGCAGCGCGCGCTCCTCTGGCGCAGAGCCCCCTCCGCCCGGCCAGCCGAAGCCCAAATGCCGCAGTGCCAAAGGGCTCCGCACAGGGCCTGTCACTGCGCGAAGCAAGAGGCAGAACGCGCGGGGGGGGCGCGGTTCACGACGGTGGCGCCTCATGGCATCCGCCACGTCGAACACCTCCCATCGCTGACCGACCAGGGGCTCAGCTGCCCGCGAGTACAGCAGGCGTGGCGCTCGGGCGGCGCCTGGGCACGTGGACAGCAGCAGCAGCGGCGGGGAAGTCGAGCTGCCTGGGCCCGGCTCTGGAGATCCCCGGCGCAGCACGCGCAGCTCTGCACCCACCACCTCGTCTGCGTCGTTAAGGCTGGACACGTCGAACAGGAAGCTCTGGCCTGTTTCGGCTGCAGATTCGTCTGCGAGGGACCGGCAGGGACAGAGAGAAAGAGCTGAGTAAGAGCGAATACTGCACACTGTCGGCGCGGGGCCTCCTAACAGCAAATGGCCCAGCTGCCCTCGATATGGGAGCGAGGCCTGTTGGAGCCAGCGCCCAACCCCGCGTCTCTGCCCCAGCCTGAACGCTGCCAGCCTGGCCCAGAGCAGCAGACGCCTTCGCCCAGGCTATCGGAACCGGGCTTTGGTTTAGGAAGCCAAAAGTCCCGTCACCCCAACAACCCACATCACTGCATATCCCTGAGCCGCGGGACCAGGAGCGCACCCCTACACCCAAGACCAGGACTGAAGGTGGCTACAGTTCCGCGGCCTGACCCAGAGCCATGGATTTGCGGGGCCAGAATCCGAGATCAGAGTTCCGGTGGTGAAAAGAAGTCGTGCGCCCACTCCTGAGGTCCTGGGCCTTAAGGAGACTTATCGTTATTGCCCTGCTGATCCCCCAGGAGAGCCGAAAGTCCCGGCTGTGCGAAAACGGAAAATTCTTGTCTCCTGAAAACTCTTCCGCTACCACTGTTCCCCCAACCCAGCCTGGACATCACCGCTGGCCACGGTCTCCCATGCAGGCTGGAGATCGGCGATTCGTCCAGGAGAATTCGTCTGCACGGCCACAAAAACCTTCTAGTCCAACCTCGCTCTGCCGAAGGGGAACCGAGGCCTAGGTAGGGGCCAGACTCGCCCAAGGTCTCAGGTCTTACAGCAATGGCAGCTGCTGCTCGCGACCGCAACCCCAAACGCACCTCCTCTTGGTGCTCCCGCGGCCTCCGAAAGAGGGGGAAAGGCGGCAAAGGAACCTCCCGGAGGGGTGCGGGGCATCCCCGAATGACCGGCATCCCCGAATGACCTTGCTGCAGTGAGGGCAGCGTCCCGAATGAGGTCTCGCTTCCAGGAGCCGCCTGTCTGTCCCTTCGCGAGCTCATTCTTCCCTCCGTAGTGACTTATCTCGGGCTTAGGAGTTTTATTTCCAATGTGGACACTCTTTTTTTTTTTTTTTTTCCTTTTTGGGCTCAGAAAAAAAAAAAATTTAAAATTCCACCACGCAGCAGATAAGGAGCTCCCTTTGAAGGAGGTCATATGGTTTCGTTTTGCCCCTAAACTCGGAGAGACTGTGCAGACTCCCCCCACCACTGGGGATTTGCTCACCAGCCACGAATGTCAGGCCCTGAGGTCTTGGTTCTGTCCCTGTCAATGGCTTCTGGGGACCTCAAGCATCCCTGCTCCAAGTTGAGACTCAGGGTGGAGAGGGAGGCTGGAGAAGCACACTTGGGGCCACACAAGGAGCACTTTCTCTGAGATTCCCTGCAGATCCTCTGCCTCTCCCTGTTCACCAGCCCTGCCACTCCATTTCCCCCAAGAGGGAGGAGGGAGAGGAGGCCTCTCAGGCTCAACCAGCCAAGCTGAGCTCCCCAGAAAGGATTTATCTCCTATCTGAGACCATGCTAGAACTAGCTCAACCTTAAGAAGACTCTGGTGCCTGTGCCCGCTTAGAGCCCAGCACACCCCCTTCTGCAGCCTGGGAGCCTACAGGGCACCCTTCAGTCTAGAGTATTCCCTGTCCCTGTGCACCAGAACTAGGGCTTCCTGTAAGTATCCCAGCATCCAGCCCAGGGACCACGTCAGGCCGTCAGAGAAGCCTTGATAGTTCTAACCGAACCATAGGGCCATTTGGAGATTGAGTACCAGGATGTCCAGGTACCCAAAATAAAGCAGTCTGTGCTAGGCACTGGGCATGTGCTGGCGGGGATGGATGGCCTGGTCACTGCAAGGCCTCTGCCTGCCTTCCCAGGCTAGGATCTGAGGTGTACTGACTCAGTGGCTCCCAAGCAGGGAGCCTCAGCCCCACCCGCTCACTTCCCAACCCTATTCGCCTTTCTTTCCCTCCTGCCCTCCATGCTGGGTCTCTGGCTGGATAGAATTAAAGCCGAAATTACTTGCATTTCTGCCTGAAATTAGTTAAATTTTCTCTATCTGTCTGCTTTAGTGATTTCATTGGAGATTAATAAAATCCAGATGACATATAGCAGCCACACCACAGCCTCACCTACATCCTACCTTTGGAAGGCCCAGGGCAGAACAAGGTGGGGTGCTTGTCTAAGAGAGGCCTGCATTCCTGCAGGGTCCCCAGCAGGCCTCTCCTCCCCGCACCACCACAATCCTTGACCTCTGGTTCTCCCAGGAGCCCAGCACCAGACACAGGCACCCATAGCTACACACGTCACACACATACAAGCCATGACCACCCACACCAACCTGCTGAGCAGGGCACTCCTCATACCTGGTGATGCCACCAGCCTCTCCAGGGCGATTTACTTTAGTCTGATACCTGCCTCTGCCCTAGTTTTCCCTGGGCTTCCCCCAATTTGTGTGGCCTCCAGGAGGCTGGAAGCTGCAGAAATGGCTGCAAGGAAGCAGCCATCACCCTCACCACTGTGCAGTCTCCTCTCGGTGTGACTCCAGGGAACGCAACTCTTGCCCTCCTTTCTTCTCCGAGGGCTCTAAGCCCGAGGCCACTCCAGACCCTTCCCCAAGAAGCGAATCTTAGCCTCTGCCTGCCGCCTCGAGAGTGACCCGCCGGCTTGCAAGGCCAGGGCGACCTGGGAGAGGGACCAGTCAGCCCTCCGGGACCGAGCCCCGGGAGCTGCCGCGACTCTCGCCACAGTCCAGGTGCAGCGGGCTGGAAAGTGTTGGCCTCGGCGAAGTTTCTGTCACCTGAGGGTGGGCCGCGGCCCCAAATGTAACGGAGCGGCGGCACGGCTGCGTGGCTGGTCTCAGCCCAGGACCTGACTGGATGGGCAGGCACATAAGAGGTGTAAGTACCTTGGGTCGCCTGGTCTGTGAAGCCGGTGATCGTGTCCGCGCGACCATGGCCCGAGGCGGAGACAGCGGCTGCCCCGGCCGGAGCCCTCCCGGTCAGGCTCCGGTAAAGCGACATCATGAAGTGGTGCGGCACCACCGAGCCGTTCCTGAAGCCGGAGCCCGCGGCGCGGCGCGGGGCGCGGGCCCGGGAAACCGCGGCGGCCGGGACAGCCGCGGCGCCCGCAGCCTCGGCAAGAGTCCGCCCGCCGCCGCCGCCGCCGCCCCCCGGGCTCCGGACCGGCCCAGCCCCCGCCGCTCGTAGCACGGCTGCCGCTTCCAGCCCGTCGCGGGGGCGGCAGGCGCTCAGCAGCCAGAGGCACAGCGCGGCGGCGGCACTCAGGTCCATGGGCTCCGTGGGCCGGGCGGGCGGGCGGCGCGGGCTCCGTGGCTCCGGGAAGTCCCCCGGCGCCTTTTGAACATAGTGTTTAATAATGGGGGAAGTGTGCGCGGCCAGCCGCGGCCCCCCCTCCTGGCCCACCCCACCCCCGCCCAACGCCCGGAGCAGCGCCCCCTGCTGAAAGCTCCGGCGACCGCGATGCGCCCCCCACCAGGGCCTAGAGTGGAGACCAGGGCCGGAGCCTCCCCCTACTACCGCAGCGCTTCGCCCCCACCCTCGCCAAGCGAGTGTCACCGGCCCCAGCCTCCCGACACGCCCGGGTGCCCCGCCTCCCCTCCCCGCGGCAGGGCGACCCCCCTCCACCCGCGCGGAGCCCAAGACCAACGCGCACTCCTTGGTTCCAGGCTTGGGGCACCGCGCGTACCCGCCTAGCTTCTTCCCTACTCCCCCACAGAGAAACACCCGCCCCTCTCCGCTCTGGTTCCCAGTGTCAGGGACGGGGCGGGAGAGGTGGGACCGCAGAAGGACTCGCCCTCCAGACCGCTTCGCGCCGCGTCCCGGTGGCCGCGCAAGAGGCCACAGGATGCGCCCGGCGGCCGCAAAGGCGCGTTTCGGATCGCGGGTCGGCGGTTCCCCACTTAGCCACAGCCCCCAAAGGATCGCAGCGGGCGGCCAGAGCAGGGGAGGGGGCCGGTAGGGGAGGAAGGGGGGGCGAGGGGCTGAAAGGGCAGGCCGGAAAGAGACGGCTGGACGCGGACGGCCCGTCGGAAAAGCAAGGTTTGGGCGCGGAAGTTGCGCTTCAGCGGGAGCCAAGCTCTAGAAGGAGCTCGGAATGAGGACGGCACTCCCGGGTGATATGGGATCTCGCGCGGGAGTGCGCTGAGAGTTTGGCTGTGCGTCCAACTGGCGACCTTCCGCCCGCCTTCGGGGTGAGGGCAGCAGCTAACGGAAACCAGCTACCGGCTTTGTCCGTGAGCGGCCAGGATCCCGGAGAGCGGACGGCGCAGAGCCCCGGGATGGTGCCTCCGAGCTTCTTCCCTCGCCGCGGTGATGGCGCGGGGCCCGGGGTGGATGGCGGGGACGCCCGGCAGCTGCGAGGCCCCGGGGCGCACTCGCGCGGGCGGCAGAGCACTTTGCTCCCCGGCTGGCAGGACAGGTTGCGGAGGCCAAGTCTCAGGGGAACGCGCCGGAAGGGAGGGTTATCGGCTCTGCTCCGCCGGCAGCCTGGACATCCCCCTAGATCGGAAACTTTCAGCAGATCGAAGGCCTGGGCCAAACGAACTGCCGGAGAAGGACAGGCGGGTCCTTTTCCTTTAAAATTGCATTTGCTGCAGAACTCAAAATCTAGACCGGGTGGGCACGTCGTGATCACCTTGAGCGGGTGATCAGCTTCAAAGCAAGGTCGCTCGCCAAATCCAAAGCCGCGTGGGTCCCGACGCCCGCCTGGCTGCGCTGCGCTGGGACCCACAGAGAGGCCCGGCCTATGGAGTTCCTGGGCCGACTCCGGCCCAGGCTCCCCAGTTCCCCTACTCCGCTGCTTCGTCCCAAACGAACTCCTCGGCCATCGCCCTCTCGGCCACCGCGGAGACGCGGCGCCTGCTCAGCTTGGGGCTTTGAGCCGCATAACACTAGAGAACGTTTGCGGGTGGGAGAGAGAGGCCTAGTGAGGTTCAGTCCTCGCAGACCCCAAGGTCGATGGATGCCAAGGAGAAAGGCCTGACATTGCCGGGAAGGGCAGACCCCCAGGCCAGGGTCAGCGCTGCCGGCGCTGAGGGACTTCTCGTAGCAGGAACCTGGGGGATCTGGGATGACCGAGCTTGGATAGTCCACCCTGCCTTCGGGACTGGGGTTGGAGAGTCGGAGACAAACACCGCCGCCCCCACCCTGCCAGCCCCCCGTCTCTCCCTGACGCGATGCTGGGTCCTACTATGTTACTTGGCTCCTTTCCCCCTGCAGCCATGCGCCCTCGGCTAAGATTTGTGCAAAGGCGCGGGGAGTCCTGGGTGACAGCAAGTCGCTTGCCTTGTCTTGGCTTCAGTTTACCCGGCTGTGTAGAGCAGAGAGCGGAGGGGTCCTAGCACATTCTTGGCACAGCCAGTTACAAATAAACGTTTGTTGATTACGTGACACCCCTGCCACGTTGGGGCTTAGGAATGAGGGATGGGTTGGAATCCCTGCACCTTGCTGTCCTTGTGGGAGTAGGCCACTTAGCTTCTTGGAGACCGAATTTCCTCATCTATAAAATGAGCGGATTCTCAACTCATCCTGTGTGTGGCTGGCATAACAGGCGGGCACAGAGGAGGGGACGTAGTCTTGCCCCCCAACCACCAGTGTGTTCCCAGTGCCAGGGGTGATCATGGCAGAGAGAGAAGCAGCTTCTATGCACCTGGAGGGCTTTGGAGGACACAACCGGGGTGGGCTGATGCTGCTGGAGCCACTGTCCTCCCGCTGCGTGTGTTCCAACCCGGAACCTGTGTTCCCACCTGTGCTTCTTGTTCTGTATAGTGAAGGCATAGTCATTCATTTATTTAGCCGTCCCTCCATTCATTTCTTCTTTGATGTAAATGCTCATGGCCAGATAGCCTTCGGTGCATTGTGTATTGAGCAATGCGCAGGGCAAGCACATGGAACTTTAGGATGGATGCAGGAGACAGCCAACAGGAAGCGCATAAATGCCCAGTGTGCTGTCCAGTGGTTCCGAGGAAAGTGATGGGCTGGGGGTCTCTGTGATCAGCGGAGGACACATTGGAGCAGGGCCCAGAAGGAGGAGGCAGAGAGGATGCGTGGGCCATGCCTGTCTCCCTTGCTCCCAGTAAATAATGATAGTGCCCATTCGTTATCTCTTGAATGCCAAGCACCTTGCCTGCTGCTCCACACACCTCATGCCATTTCATTCTCACAACTACTCTATGCTGTGAGATGGGTATTCTTCCCATTCTATAGAAAAGGAAAGTTGAACTAAAGAATTCAACACCTTGTGTAGTGGCACCTGGGGAGTGGCAGAGCCTGGAGTCATCAACTGTCCTTGCTCAACCCTTGGCTTGGGGCTGGGGGATGGGAATGTGAGGGGCTTTGTTCTGCCGCCCTGCTCCCCAGACCCCGTGGAGAGGCAGAGTATGCCTGCCTTTCCTCTCTGGCTTTCTAGAAAATTCTTGGCAAAGAAAGGACCTCTCCAGTCCAGGTGAAGACTATGAAAGTGTTACCCAGGGGCCTCTTGCCTGCCACTGCTTGCAACTGGAAACGGAAAACACTTGCCATGGAAAATAGTCTGTCATACCAGCAGCAGGACCTGCCCATGACCCAGGTCTCCAGGTGCCCACCCAGTTGGGACTTCCTCTTGGGGGATGCGGGGATCTTAGGTCGATGGGCTGGGCATGAGAGAGCTAGTGCACACAGCCTGGAGCCCTTGAAGCTGTGCGCCACATGCTAACTGCACTAAGAGCCTTAAGAATGAAAACCTCCTTCCTCTGTGTTGCCCCAGCCATCGCTGGAGAGCAGATGAGACCCAGAGGCAGATGTCAGGAGCAAAGGTCAGAGGAGGTTGGGAGAAAACTGGGGTCTGAAAGCCCTAACTTTAGTTCTTCATCCATCTGATCACCCCCAAACCCCAGACCTCCAGGCGCCAGCTGAGTCCTCCTCAGAGAGAGAAGGTGAGATTGACTCCAACAGAGGAAGGAGGGAAAAAGCAGCCTGCTTGGGGTGATGTTTCACAACTTGGGGGGTAAGGAGGGGCAGTTCCCACATCCCCACCCCAGTTCCCACATCCCTATCCCAGAGCACTTTGCTGCTCTTCCGCCCCTTGCAGAAGCTGTTTTTACTTTCTCTCAGCACCACATCCCTGACTCAGTCATAGAACCCAAGGAGCTGAAAATAACTTTTGGGTTATTATTTAAGCCAACTTGCCATGCATGCCTGAATCATAACAAACTGCTTCCTGGGCTGCGCTTGCATGCCTGCAGAGGTGGGGAACTCCCTATCCAAGGCAGCCTCTGATAGCTCTGAATGGGAGGAAGTTTTTTTTGTTTTGTTTTGTTTTAAGAGATAGGGTCTCCCTCTGTGGCCCAGACCGAAGTGCAGTGGCAGAATCATGGCTCACGGTAACTCAAATTCCTGGGCTCAAGTGATCTTCCTACCTCAGCCTCCCTAGTAGCTGGGACTACAGGCACATGCCACCACACCCAGCTAATTTTACAAAATATTTTGTAGAGACGGGGTCTTGCTGTGTTGGCAAGGTGGCCTCAAAGCATCCTCTTGAGCCCAGACTCGGTCTCCCAAAGTTCTGGGATTGTATTTGTGCTTTCCTGCACCTGGTTGTGAGGAAGTCCTGTCTGCTACTCCTAGGAGAGCCACATCTCTCGAAGGTACCTTTGCTGTGGGGAGTTTGCCTGTCATCTGGGAACACTGATACCACTTAGGGAGTTAGTCTTGGATCCCCCAGCTAGAGCCACGTTGAGGTGACTGTTAGGTATGGGAACTTGGGCAAGCCCCAGCTGTCACCTACTCAGCCTTGCCCAGGGTCTCCTGCCACACTGAGACACCTGGCCCCATGTCTGATGACAAGATAACTGAAAGATCCCTTAGAGGTGACCTACTTTACATTGTCCACATGCAGAAGCCAAGTCCCCAACAAGGGGGCGTGATCAGTAGCCTTCATTTGGCATCACAGCCATCTGCTATCCTGTGATCAGGGGCCTTTGTTCCCCATTGCAGCCCAGAGGGCCTTGACTCACCTCTGCTTAGGGCACCCTGTGGGTGCAGCGTGATGAGGGTCAGCCTCTCCCTTGCCCTCTCCTCTGCTGGGGATGCTGGGTGCACTCGTTTGGAACATAAAACTGATCATCCTGAGAGTCAAGAGATCTCAATTCAAATCGTGCCTATAACCTTGGACTGCAAGTTCCTCGCCCTTTCTGGTTTTAGACCCCAGATGTGCAGTGAGGCTGACAATCAGACGTCCACTGGATTTGCAGTGAAAGACAGGGAGAGTGTGAGATGGGTCCACTGCCTGGGACCCAGCCAGGAGCCTGTCCTCCGTCTGGACCCACCATAGCCTCTGGGCCTTTTGACTCACGGCTGGAGAAAGGGTTGGAGGTGAGGAGATAGGGCCCTGGGTTAGGTCTCCCAGGGAAGGCAAAGGACAGAAGTTGATGACAACAGCCTGCAGAGCATCTACCCTCTCTGGGTCTGGTGATGCTGGACTCCTCTCAGTCCAGAGATCTGCTGCAAATGTCTCCCATAGAAAGACCTGGGACAGCGAGGTGGGAAGATTCTAACAGGCTCTGGCTCAGCCCCGTAGGATGCCCACGGCTGGGCTTCCTGAAGCTAGAGGAATTTCCCAGGCTCGATTGGTGCTACCCGGCCCCAGGTTACTCAGAGCAACAGCTCTGGCATCCACACTGGGGTCAGCCACAGCTCTGGCCCCAGGCCGCTGGGCGTGGCCTGCCCCTGTGCCCCAGGCCACTGGGAGGGGGAGGAGAGGCAACAGAGAAGAAGGGAGAAAGGTAGCTTCTTTCCCAGAAGCCTTCCAAAAGGGACATCTCAGAGCTCTTTGGGTTTGGGACAAATCAGGGAGGGCTGGTGGACATTGCCATCTGCTGGTCACTTGTTGTAACAGCAGTGC